GGTCCTCTGCATCCTGCTGTAGCTGACCCTGCTTGGGCAGGGGAGTTGGACTAGATGGCCCACAGAGGTCCCTTCCAACCCCGAACATTCTGTGATTCTGTAATAACGTTACATAACTGAACTAAGAATGTGTGTTGAATTTATGTTATTTAGTCTCACTGAAAGGAGTGGTTTTGTTCTTTGTATTTTTCGGTGCTGTATGGTATGGTATGATATTGCATTTTATTTGTTTATATTTTTCCAGGTCTGACAGCGGCTGCCATGGCAGAGGCTATGAAGTTACAGAAAATGAAACTTATGGCAATGAATAGCCTTCATGGAAGTGGAAGTCAAAATGGAACAGAATCAGAAAATGAGGAGCTGAATTCTAATGCAGGTGAGTAATGCTGTGCGTGTCAGCTGTAGGGGAGCTCTCAGCACCCGGTTTTGCGCATGGGAAACAATATCAGGAATCTGTCTCAAATTCTATTTCGTAAGCTTTGCTCTGCCAGTGTCAAAATCGAAATTACTGCACCCATTTCTCAAGTATCCCTGCAGTTTTCCTCCGAACAGCCATCTTCATTAGATTTTTGAAAAGTATTGGTGAAGGGTTGTTTTCATTATATTAGAATACAGACATTTTAAACTGTTCCCTGAGTGTATTTGTAGTAACAAAAGACTTCTCTATCGGCAATAATGCAGTGAGCCTAGAGTTTTCCTGTAAATGATGGAAAGTTTCCAAAACGTCAGGTTGTTGGAACTCATTATGAATTCCACAGTTCGCTGGAGAAAGGTAAAGCAGGGCATGCTAAATCACCAGCTTTCTGGCTTCTCCGCGTTTTGTTCTTTCCTTGAACGGATATTTGCAAACCACAGCTGTGGAGGGGAGTCGTGATAAACGTCTGTCACGGCCGCCCTGGCTGGGACGCCCTTGGGTGGAAGGCACTGATGCTGAACACGTGTTCAGTCTGTGCTGCTGTAAGCATTAGTATGAACTTGAACTGAGCTCCCCGACTCCAGCTCCACAAGAAGAGGGTTTTGAAGAGGGTATCTTCTTGGTTTGTGCTGATGTCCTTTTCGGGTGAACGGAAGAGCTTTTTACTTGGGTAGTGTAGAGAATCTAGAATAAGATAGATCCGTTTTGTCTTGGAAAGCGGCTGGATAGCTATTACAGTAAGGGTAGGCTCACTTGGACTCACTTTTTTTGGTACAAAGAATCCTACAGTAGACTCTTCCCGTTTTGGAAACTTAACGCATGCTTTGTTTTCATCATCAATTCAAGAACAGCGGCGTTGTCTGATCCCTCGCCGCTTTCGGCTCTCCCATCGGCGTTCACACGTCTCTGAAGTCACACATGCGTCTCTAAAGACGAAGCCGCTCCAACAGTTTGCTTGCTCGGATGGCGTATGGTGTATATGCATTGTACCATCAAAATGGTAATTTATTAGACCAATAAAGCAGCAGCTGGGAGGTCTTAGACTCATTTTCTAAAGGAATAACTTTGAATTCACTACAAATTATGCACAAAGCAGTCCTTCCAGAAGTGGTATTGCCTTTTGCTAATTTTGTGTACTCATCTGTATTGAAGAAATCTGGCTTCTAATTCATGCGTTAAACCCTTCCCCAGCGTTCTGTTGTGTAGGATATGTATTTCTTATTCACCTCTCAGACCCTAATCAATTAGTGCGTATTGAACTCAGAAAAAAAGCCCTGAAAAAACATATTTAGTTTTTATAACTCTTCTAGTCTCTAGATAGTTCAAAATGAACTAGGAAGTTTCACTGAATGTGAAGTAATGTGACTGAAGATAGAATTCCTTCAGAAAAGCAAGGCAGTTTCGTGCAGAAAAGATGTAGGGTTAATGTTCGGGGTTTTTAAAGCTGCTGTACAAAAGCTTGCTGATTTGAATGCCCATGGTTTGGTGTGTTACCTGGTATGGCAAAATTAGTGTACTTCGTATGGAGAGAATCTACAGTACACCAATATTATTATTTTAGGTACCTCGTTGACATGTTTTATGGGGGACTATAACCATAACTATAATACCAGCTTTTCGACAATACGTCAAGAGCATGCATATTAAATGAAAGTTCTTTAGCAATTCAATGAGTTCTGCAACTGACTCAATACCAATTTAAATATTTGGAAAAATTCCCGCTGACTTTAGCTGAAGTTACAGTTGGGCCCAAGAATAAGGAAATAGTGTCAGTTATGCAAAGATCTTTTCTCAGTTTGTTCCCTTTTTCGTTGCCTAATTCAGTAAAATTGCCAAGAGCAAATTTGCTGGTTCAAATGGCAAGGTTGCTTGCTACTACTACTAATGATATTAAAAACCATAATTTCCCCTCTTTTTCGTGTCTGCGATGCCAGTGTTAGGATCATTCGTGTAGTGCGTGGCTCCTCTCGTTATTGGTGGGTCATTTGTTAAAGATTTGCAATGAGCAGGTACAGCAGGGGGTGTCGAAAAGGAAAACCAAAATGAGAGGAATGTAAAACTTAATGATACATTTCACTATACAGAATAACTGAGGAATTACCAAATTTTCACTAGAGAAAACTGATTCGAGACTGAGGTCGGGCATGAAGAAAGTGGGCATGTTCTGTAGAAGCCGGTGTACATTTTGTAACCGGTTTCGCTGTGGAGAGCACGCCGTGACAGTTCTGTGTGTGTGAGACCTTTGCCAAATGGTGGGTTTGCTCTAGACTCCTCCAGTTGAAGTGACTATTAAAAACAAAAGGGAGATGCAAAATGAGAAAGAAAATTGAATTTTGAAATTTTTTTTTACCAGGAAGAGGTAAAAAGAAACAGAGCAGAGGAGTTAGAAGCCTCGTAAGCGAGAAAAACATTTTCTTTTAGGAGGGAGACCTACAGTTTCTTTGATTTGAGGTTCTGTTTAATAGCTTCTGTAATGGCTGCAACATGACTCCGCATCTAGATTTCAGCATGAATAACAACCTGTTCGTGTTTCATTTAGCTCCAAATGAGAAATTCTGTCTTTTATTGTTTTAGGAAATTAGTCTGTGTACTATTGCTCCTGGAACTTTATAATTAATCACTAAAGGTTATGGCTGTGGAGAGTTTGTGGGAAATAGATGTCTGAATGATTATAATTGTAGCTGTCAAATCAGAAATATAGTTACACAGAGCGGAGGACCTTTTGCTTCCTTTTTTTTTTTTTTTTTTTTCTTTTTACTGAAACAAAGACTTGAAGGGTTGCAGTTGTACTTAAAAAGAGAACTGTAGCGGTGGTGGGCTCGTTACCTCCGTGGAGCACATTGACTTTCTGTGTGAGATACAGCAGCAGTAAATAGGAGGCTGGGTGCCTTCCTCCTCGTTCTGTAGTGTGGTAGACGAGTGGAATAGTCTCTTTCATTGGGTCGGTTTTGAATTAAAAATGTCATTGATCAGTATTAATTCCTGAATCTTTATGGCCAGATTCTTTGGAAGTGTGTCGTTATATACAGGCCATTAAAGAAGTGGTGAGGATGTCTTGTACTCATCTCAGTCCCCATCTGTATCTGCTGAAGTCGGTATGAAATACTTCTGGATTTGCTTCTGTAGTAATGCCTAGAATGACACCGCTTTCTCTCTGTGTGTGCACCTGTGATGAAGGAAATTTTTCAAGAATTTCTGTGTCTGAAGCCAGCATTCAAGCTAGCAATTTAAAATCTGAACTCTAACTCTCAGGATCACTGAGTGTAATTCCTTCGGTATTATGTTGTCCTGTAGGAAACTACAGATGTGGAATTGAATCTTAAAGTGTGTGTGAGGAAGTGGGGAGTAAATTGCCACTTCTCTGCCTGTTTCTAATCCAGCTGGTAGGCTTTGGCCATCCGGTCCTAACTGTCTCCTTTTTGTAAGATTACAGTAATCTCAGTAGTGGTGGCATTGAGTACTGAAATTTTGTAAATAACTTATTTTAAAAAAAATTCTGCGAGAGACAATACTGAAACTGTGGAAAAAAAAATGTACCAGAAAAACAGAATTGCATGTATTTTTTAATGGTAGTAATGCATGAGTTCACAGTGCCGTGAAGAATGTCGTTACGCATTTGAACATTAATGTCCTCCTTCCACTCTCTCTGCGGAAGAGAAAGAGATTTTTTTGCACCTTCCTACTCATCATATGAAGTGTTGAAGCAAACTTCTCAAGCAGTTGAAAATCTTCTATTTAATCTGGCACTAGGGGTTCTCCAGCCCCACAGGCCAGCTGATCTGTGCTCGCTCTTCCTTGGGCTTCGTGGCTGTCTACAGCTTCTTGCAGGGTCTGGGGAAGGAAGGGTGAGTTTAGAGAACCGCATAGATGGGGACATCAGTGTCTGGAAGTGGGAGAAGCTACCTCCCTCTGAAACCTCCGGTTGCCAGTGGCCGTAAGTCTGCCGTAATCCCGTTCCTCCTTTCTGGCTACGGAGTCTGCAGAGATGAGACGGTTTGTGGACGGCAGTCAGCGCCCGCCTCGGAGGGTTGCCCTGAGTCCAGAGGGCTGCCGTAGCTGGAGAGCAGGACTGATAATCCGTGCCAGGAGTGACGTGGCCTCTCGCATTCCGCTTTGGAAAGCGGTGAGATCCGTAGTCTGCAGGTGGCAGCTGAAGCCAGGTACGCTGGGGTGCGTGCAGATCTCGCAAAGCCCAGCCACGGAACGAATTTTGTTGTTCTGTAGAAGTAAGAGAAACAAAACAAAACCTCTCTGGTTGCACAGAAGTGTTTATAAAGATCATCTGTTTCATCATCATGCACTACTAATGTTAGGTGAAGTGTATTCTGGAAATTAGCATATCATTGCCTAGGGAAATGTGAAACATTTGAAATCAGAGGTTTTTTTTTAGTAGCGTGGCAGCAGGTAATTTGTACAAGTAGGTGATAGAATCGGAACGTGAAGGAGAGATTGCAAAATACAGTGTTGGTGCTATTACGTGAACCTCCTTGAAGGACGCGGAGTTCCGCAGCTGCTACGCGAAGCAGGATCGGCGCGCCGCGATCCGTGACGGTACCTGTTTGTACAGAACCTCAGTGCAGAGCAGAAAGCAGGGATTTCCTTCTGCTGGCTTGTGGAGCTAGCGTGCATGATTTAATAAATGCGTTTTGCTTTCCCAAGAGAGATATCAAACAGTACTAAGTGTTTCAGTGGTATTTCCTTAGGAAGTCAAAATGTTATTCTGTACGTAGAGTCTTGTTGCTTAATTTCCAGACAAGGAGCAAAGTTGGGCAGAAAAGAAAGGAAAAACACCCGAGCTTCTGGCATGTGAGGATCAGAGAAAAAGCTCTTCACTGGGGGGGGGGGGTTTTTCTTTTTATCCTTTTTTCCCTTCAGTACCTGCCACGCAGTTTTCTCATAAATGCAAACATCCTTCACAATCTGTTTAGAAAACCACAAATACATCACTCGGAGGAATATTT